CGCTATAAAGTGAAGAGAGAGAAATGGTGGAACAGAACGAAACTAAATGCCAAAAAAAAAAATTTTTTTGCTTTCCTGGAAACATTTCAGTCAGGCGAAGTCGAGTTCTTCTCTAAAAGGTTGGAATTGTTCCAACAAAGACATTACTTCGTGTTGGAAGGAATTTCAGCCGCAAGCTGTCGAAGTATATAGTATATATATATATGATGTCCGATACATTTTGATGCAGTAATAGTTTTTGGCGGGAAGCTCGTGTTTTTGGATTCTCAAACGGCTTTCTTCAAAGTTTCACGATTATTGGTTGTTAAAACTTTCTGTACATTTTCTGGTGTTTTTTTCCTTTAGTTCTTCGATACTTGTTTTCTCCGTGTTTAACGCTTTGTCTCCTCGTTGGTTTAAAAATGTCTCGAAGAGAACAGCTTTGCTGTCGAGAAGCAATCAGCAGTTCTAATGGCGTGTGCTATTTTCACAATTCACATCTACATATAGATGCGTTCTCGTATGTGGTGAAATTTATCTTTCTTTCATATATATAAATGCAGAAAAGTGTTTCGCATCGGTATATTGTATTTGAACGTATTTTAACATACTTTGGTCTCATTACGTTTATTCTTCTGATATGGATTATCGGCTTCTAAAGTTCTTTTCATATATTTTAAGTCAACCGTAAAAGTTCCTGAGAGTATCATTAAGATGTTTGGACGTTATCGTTACTGATTAATATTAACTTGGTAACGGAACTAATTATAATGCTAAAAGCTGCTACATAGAGCTGTACATGTGCTTTCATTTTTGTGGCATTGTTTCCTGTGCTCCTTCTTTCGGCATCCTATGTGTGTTGTTCATTAAGCTCGTTTACAAGCACTGGAATTTTGACGACTGGATGTTTGCCCTATTACTGTTTATAGTGTGTGCAAACAGCTAATTTTCCTTACTTCTAAAATTGTGCTGTGTGATAGTGAATAAATTTGTTTGCAGCCGTAGTTTGCTGTGGCAGGATTTAATATCCTTTTGTGTGGAAAATTTTTTTTTAGAAAATGCTAATTGCGTAAGGTAAGTTGCACGTGAAAAGTTTTTTCCAGTATTTTGGGCACGTGAGTTTTTAAAGATGATTTGAAGCGTAAGCGGGAAAGAGGTAAATTTTCTACTTGAAGAACAGTGCGTTGATGCTTGTTTTTTAGTCATTATGTTCCTCATTAAAGTGCTAAAGGTTTTCCGCGGAGAAAAGTAGTTGCTTATTTCATATTTCTTATAATTATTGTGCTATCTGATTTCCTCTGGCGGTTGGGCCTGACATTTGCTTGAAATTTTTGTGATGTTTTGTGTAATAAAAGTTTTAAGGTAGAATTGTTTATCCTTCTGTTTTGAATATATTTATGGAAAGTTATATTTGTTACGAATTATCTTTAAATATTGTATTCTTTATGCTGTTTCTTATGCACATTGTTTGTTAACAGTTGTTGTTTTATCAGTTGCTGAAGGGGCTCACTGCTGTCTTTGTGATTAGTGTAATCCTCGAGTTGGACGTGAAGAAGGGCGTGCAGAGAAAATAATGTTGAAAAATGAAAAGAAAGTAACTTCAAGGTCGTAAATCAAAATTTTTAGCCAGTTTTAATATTAAGGCCAAAGCTAACGTTTATTCATGTCTTTATTTTATAAATATATTTCTGACGCAAGTGAACTAACTTCGCTCAGAATGCTTTTAAATTTTTCCTTCACGTTGGCAAGAGTGAGTAACTTATAAGTTCTAAATTCTTGTGGCTTTTTAAAATTACGACAAACCTTATGGTAATTAAAGTTACTGTTATCAATGCACTTCTATGAATCTCCTTTATGGCGATACTGACGTAGCTTAATTGAGATGCTTTTAGCGAATGATGATTGTTCTTGGATCAAACTCGTTCTTTTCAGATTAACTCTCTAACTTTCTTGGCGCTTAGTTCCCTCCTTGATTCGATTCCGTTGCAGCAGTTTGGTTCTCGTAGTAAGTTTACTTTGATTTTCTATTTTCATCTCTTCTGAATCATCATTTCTTCAAAAGAACATATATTTCATATTCTTTTCTAGCCTATTTTACCTGTATTTATTAGAAACAAGGAAGTTATTCACACATTAAGGGCGAGTACAGATGGAAATGTATTCTTTCTCATAATGTTAGAATATTTTTCCTGTTTGCTTTTGTTTTTCTGTTCGTCAATCAGATCTTTCCTCTCAGCAAAATTATTAAGTAATTTATTGCTCTTGTTTTAGTTTTTTTGCAGATACATTAAGTGTAGTATTTTTTTGGATGGTTATGAGCAAACTGGCGTCTACTCGTGATACAGTTCTTAATGAGGTTAGTACTTTTAAAGACTGTTTTTAGCATTTCAAGCTACAACAGTTTCAGATAATAAGCAGTTTCATTGATGCTTCTTACAATTTATGCTGCAGCAGATTGGTGTATTATGGTGGTTTATTTTGAACGTAATTTTTTTTATTTTTATTATTTTTTCACTTTTTTTGTACGTTATCGAGTTGAATTCTGTGATCTGTTTGCCTCACAAAAGTGTTTTTAGTCGGAAGGGTCAGGTGAACGGCTCACTGGCAGCATACGTTCATCTGATGGTGGCGGTTCATTTAGTGGATGCGAAGATTATGGAACTGCTGAGAAAGCAAGGATCGAGTTCAAAATGGATCAGATCAAGGAAAGGATAGCTAGAATTTCGCTTGCGAGAGAAGGTGAAAAATTTTTGGGAGAAAAACCTTACAGGAAGCCTAATGTTCTGTTATTATGGATTGTCAGGGGTTACCTTAAAGTACACCAATAAGTAATTTTATGATTGTTTTATCTGGGATGGAAATAACTTTGACATTATTGCAAACAGTTTTATTAGGGAAAATATTTATACCATGATTTTTTTATTCGCTTATGTATGCGGTGTTCTTTTTTAGCCGATGTCGTCGACTTTTTATCAATGACAAGTAATTTGAAAGGCGGCCAAGAGAATCCTCAAATTGTGAGAGTACGGCAACACTTTGAGAAGAAAAACAAAAAGTACGCCCAGGAAACAGAGCATTTACAGGTTCTTTAAGAATTATTATTCTAGAAAGGTTTTGTAACGGGTGTTTTTGTGCAGTAGGAATCAATATTGCTTTGCGTTTTCTGTATTGTGAGATAACTTTTCACAGTTTGTAGAGAACTTTGATTTTGAAAATTACGCTTCAGAAGTTTTCACTTTTTTTTAAGTGTAGTTCATTTTATGAAACAGGTAGTAGGCATCGCTTTGGTAATAACTTTTGAAAACAATGATATAATATTTTCTTTTATCAGAATTGATATTTTGACTATAATAAGCGCAAGGATCATTTTAGAAGAAGTTAGAGCAGTTGGAAATGAAACTTGCTGAAATTGAAAAAGGTGTAACGGTTGAACCTTCTTCAAAGAATGCCATGTTGAGCAATATTCGATATGCTCTTTCAAGGTAAGTGTGTCTTCTTCTGGCCCCAACGGTTTCAAAATTCTTTAAGCCTAAAACTTTTGTTAACCAAATTTGTTAACAGCTGTCAGTTTTGCTATATGTTTCTTCTTATTTTCGGAAGAAAACTGGTCCGCTGCTTCGTGAAGTCACTGGTTCGGTTATATCGGCTCCTCGGGGGCTTGCTCACATGCTAAAAAATAAATTTGGTTCCAACGACAATATTGCCAACGATGAAGATGACGCTTCTAATGTGGGACAGTCGACATTTTATTCTGGTTCTACTTCAAACAGTGGAAAATCTAAGTGAGTCTTTTACCATTTACCACATAAAATGTTAAAGCCCTCGTTGGTAAACCCTTAATTTTAGCAACCAGGCACATTCTCTCAAGTGCGAGGTTTCGTCCGCTCCAAACATGTTGCCTCATGAAGTGGAGTTGCCTATTATGTTTTTAGAGCCTGCTTCCAGTGAGGAGAAAAGTAAAGATTCATCGCAGCGTGCATCTGGAATAGGCAGTGATATACAAGAGCTGCAGAATGAGTTTAAAGATTTCAGGTCACAAAACCAAATTCTGGTTGAGCAATTAAACAAACTGCAGGTAATGAAATTTTTATTCTTACAATTGTTATTCTAAAGATCAGTTATGGTTACTCATGAGTAATTTTTGCAGTGTTTTAATTTTAGTCTAATGGCTTTTTCAGACTTATTTACAAACAGAAATCAATTTTTTTAACAAAGCAC